GACAAAAAGAAATTTCTCTTGTGCTCTGCTACAGGAATTCCTAATTTCTGTACTAATGCCAGCACCCTGTCCCATGCTTTGATAAGAGGAGAAATGTCAAAACGTAATATCTTTTAATCATTTGGTCCAAACTGTATGCTACAGATACTATTTGAAATTCTTTGATATGGGACTGTTGATATTCCCTGATTTCAGGTGACTGTGATAGCTGCAAAGTGATTTTTATAACTCTTTCATTTATACTGATTTCAATATAAATGAAGTTTCCTTTTCTGTTCATTTGGTATTGCTCATTTTTTGATGGTTCTGAGGATGAGAAAAGCAAGTAAGTATACTTTCTGTCATGATTTCTGGACTTCAGATAGACTGCTGGCCAATAAAACTGAAGACAAAGAAACTCAATAGAAACTGCTGCAATACCGTAGGTGTTCAGATATTAAGAAAGAGAATTATGCCAGGTGTGGTGGCTCACACTTGTAATCCCAGCTATTCAGGAGAGTAAGAAAGGAAGATAGCAAGTTCAAGGCCAGTCTGAGCAACTTAATGAGACTGTCTCAAAATAAAATTTTTAAAAAGGCTGGGGGTATACCACTGGGATAAAGTGCTCCTGGGTTCAATCCCCAGGACCAAAAAAAAAGGGGGGGGGGAGAGAAGAAGAATTAATAAAAGTTGTTGAGTCATGGGAAGGGGCTGTGGCTCAGCAATAGAGCACTTGCCTAGCATGTGAGAGGCCCTGGGTTCGATCCTCAGCACCACATAAAAATAAATGAAATAAAGATATTGTGTCCAACTATAACTAAAAAATAAACACTAAAAAAAATTTTGTTGAGTCAAAGAAATTAAGAGTAAGAGATGACTCCAGTTGCAAAATGCAGGAAAGAATGGAGAAACTAATCAAGAATACAGTTTAGAGGGGGGCTAGGGTTGTGGCTCAGCGGTAGAGCGCTTGCCTAGTATGTGCAAGGCCTGGGTTTGATCCTTAGCACCACATGAAATAAATAAATAAAATAAAGATATTGTGTTCAACTACAACTAAAAAATAAATATTAAATAAAAAAGAATACAGTTTAGAGATGCCATTTAGCTTCTGCATGCAATTCTGTACACCTTTCCCCCACACATTTGTTGAACTAAATATCTGCCAGTGTGAACATGGATAAGTCCTATAAATTAACAGAGACATGGAAAACTAATGATACTGGCTCAAAGGCCAAAAATCTGAAAGAAATGAAAGACTTAAGACCAGAAAGGCTTTAAAATAAAAACAAAAAAATAAGAGTATTACTCAAAGCATACTTTTCAGGAAGCTAATCCTGACTGACATCACACATGTGAGCACTATGATGCCAAATAAGACTGAGGAAAGCTGACAGGTCTCTTCTGAAACTCTTCAAGGCTACTTGAACATGCTTGAATACCATTCACTGATAAACTATTCAAGAGAACCAAGTTGTCTATTTGATGGTTTCAATAAGTTAAGATTATTTAATAGTTTTTGGTGTAATAAGAATTCTAATACAAAAAAAATGTATTTTTTAAATTCTGAACTAAGAGTTAAAATTTGCAAGAACAGCACAATGAACTCCTTTCTTCCCTCAGATTCACCAAGTTTTACTATTTTTGTTTGATTTGCTTTATCACTCTCATTTTCCCTAAATTTTTGAAAATAAGTCACAGACACCCCCTTGGGCCCCTAACACTTCAGGATACACTTCCTAAGAACAAAGACAAAACAATTACCAAAATAAAAAAATACAACTATTTAACCTATAGACCTCAAATGTAGACAATTCTCCCAATAATGTCCTTTTTAGCAACTTCTGTTTTTCTAGTCTAAGATTACACTATGTGTTTTGTTTTCATGACTCTTTAGTCTCCATTAGTGGAGAAGAGTTGGTTTCTAAGGCTTTACTTTTTATGACACTATCCTCTCTAGTGAAGTACAAAACTGGTGTTTTAAACTGGGTGGTGGTGCATGCTTATAATCCCAGTGACTTGGGAGGCTAAGGCAAGAGGACTGCAAGTTTGAGGCCAGCCTTGATGTGGGGATGTAGCTCAGTGGTATAGTAACCCTGTGTTCAATCCCCGGTGCCTCAAAAAAAAAAAAAAAAAAAAGATGACAGGTGTCTTACAGAATGTCTGACAACTGGGGTTTGACTAATATTTCTACACAATGGGATTCAAAGTTATGCTTCTCAGTGCATCAAACCAGGAAGTACAGCATACCAGCAAATCCCATTCATTATTGGCAATATTAACTTTAATCACTTGGTTAAGGAGGTGACTGTGATTTTTATAACTCTTTTCATTCCTGAAAATTTATTCATTGACATTCTTCAGTTAGCAGAAACTTTTTTTTTTTTTTTTTTTTGGTACCAGGGATTGAAGTGGTACCTAACCACTGAGCAACATCCCTAGCCCTTTTTTATATATATATTTTTTTATTTAGAGACAAGGTTTCACTGAGTTGCTTAGGGCTTCGCTAAGTTGCTGTGGCTGGCTATGAATTCACAATCCTCCTGCTTCAGTCTCCTGAGCTGCTGGAATCACAGGCATGCACCAAAGCACTAAACAAAAACTTTTCTTTATATCCCATGTATTTATTTACTCATTAAAATTATGGATTCTTGTTTGATTCAACAAGTTTATAATCCATTTGCATTTTTTATATTAAAATATTCCCAGATACGGTGACTGAGAATTGTTTCAAGCAGACCTCTAAGTCCTTCTGACATGTCCCCACCACATGCCTGAGTAGTCCCTTGCTCCCTGGCACAAGATGTTCCATTTTGAACCTTCCCTGTACCAGCCCTGGAATCAGCCATTTCTCTACAGGGCTGGGTCCTTGTAGAAAGAGATGACTTTTTAGAAACCAAGGTTTGTCTCAAGATACACTCATTGCTAATAGCATATCATTGCTTCTAGGCCCTCTCAACAGGAAGAATTAGGAGATTTATATATATGTTATATTTTTAAAAACTGTATCTAGTATAAGAAAAACAAATCATCTTCCACTGCAGCATTTAAGTTAACAGAAATGTCCATAAACAAACTGTGAAGTACTCGTAATTACTGGTTAATATTTCCTTTGAAACCTTGGGTAAACTGTTCTACTGCACAGTAAGCTAGTCAAATAAATCTTTCAATTTTATGAGTACACAACATTCATAAAATTGTAACTTGATCATTTCAGGTTTACAAGTCAAAATTAAAAGAACCTTTTTTCTGGTGATAAGAGTACAAAGAAGATTTAACAAAGCCCCAAATAGTTAGTATTTGACAAGAGAATAAAGAGAGTTTTATGCCATTTTGAGAAATTAATCAGAGAAGAAAAGTTTAAAATAATTAATTTTGAAACACTAATTCATTTGCCATGCCTCACTCCGATAAGAATTACTGGGATTCTCTGACGGTGTGACAGTCATTGGAAACAACTTTTCTACCATTTTCAGCCAACAAACAGATGTAGTTGAACCAGTAACTTCAAGTGAGAAAAAGGAAGGGGGCTATTCATAAAGACCTATGTGAATGTGCTGGATGTAGTCACTGGGTATTTGGTCCACACTGGCTGATCAAAAGCAGGCCAAGCAGGACGGAAAATACTCCACAGTTTCTGTGTTTGTTTTCCTAAATCTGTTCCTCAAGTTATGCAATCTTGTCACAGATTTTCTTGAGTAATCATTGAACCTAACCACCTTTATTAAAGACCTACTTTATTCCCAGAACTGAGCAGGTGTTCCCTCAAAGAACATCTCTCTGACTTCACCAGCAAGATCAGCAATCCCTTTTTTTACTTACTCTAGAATCTCCTCCTCACTCCACCTCATTCCCTGCCTTAACAGACCCCAAAGTAATAGTGTATCACTTCAGCCCTGCTCTTGGCAGAACCCTCTCCATGATGAAATTCAGAGTTACACGTTTTTTGGTAAAAACACTGGCTCTTCATGTGCTACTCTGTAAACTGCCTAAGAATTCCCCAGCGACATCAGAAGCTCTCACATCACTAAGAATACTCTCTCACATCTTTTATATGTCTTTCCTTCAGTCTATAAAGGTGGTCAAATAACTTGCATATATTAAAAAAAATTATCAAAAATCCAAGCTTCTAAAAGAAAAACTCTTCCCCATTTTTTCAATTCATTGCAGTCTGGTTGTTATCTTGGACTCTTCCTTCTTCCTCACCCAAAAGAGTTAATGATGGTTACTCTCCCTGGATTCCTCTACTCTTCCCCACTCCAACCACCCGCACTCAGCCCCCTCTCTTCTCACGTGGACTACCACAGCAGTGAACTAACTTATCTTCTGGCCTCTGAGTCTACACTAATGCCCCCTTTCCTAAACTTCTGTGTTCATTGCCATGGGAACACTCTTAGTAAGACTCAAAACAAATCACATTTGACCACACATAAAACAAATCCATGGTTTTACAGTACCTAAAAATTAAAACCCAAGTCTTCATCACAGAATACAAAGTCATCTATCAGTTGGTTCCTGACTTACCTGTTGCAGAAATTCCCATTGCCCTTGAGTCATCCGTACTTTTTGGTACGTAAGCTCTAGTCTCTATGAATGACATGTACAGCCTTAAAACCAAGCTGTCAAATGCCCTATGCTCACACTGCGCCACCTTATGGAATTCCTGATTTCCTCCTGACTCAGTTTACTCTTTACCTACCTGTCAAGCTCTAGTTCAGGTATCTCCCCTGTTAAGCCTTTGAGACTCACATGAATTTGAGGGCTTCTGTGACAGCATTGTATCTATGTATTAATCTCTACTACGCATATTACACTTTAAAGTGGTTCATTGTTAATGCATTTGTCTCCTACTGTGAGCTCCTTAAGTCAAAGGTTGCTTTTTATCCTTCACTACCTCCTCCATGCCTATAATCCCAATAGATGTTCAATAAATGCTACTGAATAAATGAAACTAAAAAATACAACACAAAATAAGATTATAATTTCATACAAATAACATAAGCCTGAATGTTATAAGTTCCTACCTGGTAACTAACTGTTTTTTTCCCATCACTTCTAGTCTGAGGTAAGGTTAAAGGTCCAGACACCACCCAAACATCTTCAAACCTCTCTGTCAGTTCACGACAGTACATTTCTATTCTGAAAAACAAACCAAAAAAACTGACAAACATGCGGAAAAGCACATCACCACATCAGTTCCTAGGAAAGATAATAAAAATACTGCATTTGTGTCAACTTAAATGCAACCATGGCACAAAATATTATAAGCATATACGCAATGGTGTTCTCAAAGTTTTATTGCAAAAAAAAGTTTTTTTAAATCACACATGTAAACTTAACTATCTACATTCTTCCCTGTATACACTTAGCACACATTTTAGAATTGAAATTGTTAACATTTGTCAGGGCTTAGAGTGTCACACTCAGTGGTAGAGCTAACATGCATGAGGCCATTTATTAGATCCCCCAGCATGGCATACACACAAAAAATCTATGCCATAGTTTTCAAAAAAATATTTAACCATTCCTATTGCAGGACAATTTGGTTTATCTTAACATGTCTAATTAATGCAATACTGTATTAAATCCTTAGCATAAATGTCAAGGGCTAGAATAACTGAATAAATATTTTAATGAGGGCTGGGGCTGTGGCCCAGTGACAGAGCTCTCGTCTAGCGATTGCGAGGCCCTGGGTTCGATCCTCAGCACCACATAAAAATAAATAAATAAAATAAAGGTACTGTGTCTGACTACAACTACAGAAATTAATATTAAAAATATCTTAATGGCTTGATTATATGAAAAACTGTTTTTTAATGGAATTCTATGAATTCACTCTAAGTTCCAAAATATGACACAGTAGTTTCAAAACAACAAAAAAATTATTTATTTCAAACTTACCAGATAAAAATGATAAATGTTAGTTTTAATCTGCACTTACACTATAGTTGGAAGAGATCTCTAAATGAGATAACAGTACTTGTCATCATTCCTGTTTATCTAAAATGTAAAATTAAATTGTTTTTATAGCATATATGTCCAATTATAAGTTAAAGTTTTCCTCCTAAAAATTTATCCAGTGGGAAAAGAAAATGTTAAATGTTCTCACAAGCATGTAATCAGCAAATCCAGAACATAGGAAGGAAATATAGGACAAACATCCTAGATCTTCAACAAAGAATTTATAAGAAAAAAGGGAAACCTACAGATTATAAGGAACTGAAGACATACATATATCAACCAAATCTAGGTACAGATCTTATTATAATCCTGATTAAACTAGCCAACAAAAATAAAATAAAAGACAATTAGGGAAAGTTGAACCTGGTAATAAAGAACTGCTGTTATGTATTTTAGGGGCAAATTTAGGGTATTTTAAAAGTATTTTTATCTTCTAAAAATATACATTGAAATACCTGCAATATATCTGCAATCTGAATGGGGAGAAGTATGGTCATGCAGATGAAATGCATGTGGCCAAGACTGGTAACTGTTGGAGTCTTCTTTTAGTGTGGTGTGCTCTTAATTCTTTTAACTCATAAAATACTATATGAGGAAAACACAATAGCCTGAAACCACCTTCATCAAAGCCAGTTTTAATGCTTAAAGAGACCAACTGAGAGAACTTAATGTCAGAAAAATGCAGACGGTCCAAAGAATTTTATATTTAAGTTTCATCAAAAACTGCTTAACGGTTATGTTGAGCAGTACCAACCTTTTTCTTTAAAAAACAGAAGCACTGGTATACAAGAAAAGAAAAAGAAAAAGTGCCCTCTTTGGACACACTAAAAAAAAAAAAAAACAAGAGATGTTACTGCCTCAGTTATTGACAGAAATATCATTAAGTTTCTTTCAAAATTTGACTTTTAAACAGTGGCAAATATATCAAAAAGGTAGGCTAAGTTTTGAAGTATATTTATCCACAGAAGGCTCTACACACAAAATATAGCAAAGAAAATGGTCCAAGTCTCTAACTTTGGTGGGGTTACTTCTGAAAAACAAAGACAGACAGTACTATACATTCTTCTGTTACACCATTCATCTTCCACAGAATGTATTTTATAAACTTTCCACCTCACCTGTTCCAATATCCAGAATTATTATCAAAATTCTGAGGCACAATATTAGAAAGGTAAAAGGTTTCAGCCATGGCTTTCTGTGAAAAGAAATTAAAACAGTAACTTACACTGAAATATTTTACAAATCAGACATAGAAAAACCAGTTCTTAATAATCATTAGCTCTAGGCAATTAGTGACTACAATTCTTGTTTAGATAAAGGAATGCCATAGGTATTTGAGGACAGAAAACTCTATTCAAAATAAACACCATAACAAATAAGTAGTTAAGTGTGCTTAGCTTTGCTTATCATTTACAAAATCAAAACTTATTACATAAACTCTAAGAACTAAAAGTTTCCAATATAAAGCTTAAAAGTGTTAATTCTGGTTTTAAGCATGTGGCTGAGAATTTCTCAAAAATGGTCAACTTTGAGGAATTTAAAAAGTATAGCACAGTTCAAAAGTGGCAGAGAAAACTTCCCTTTGTTCCTGGCCACAATAGGTTTACTCACTTCACACCTCTCACTCACATACACAAGGCTCTCCCTCACTGTATTCCTTTTCAAATATCTATACCGTCAATGTCATAATTACCATCTTTTCTTCAAGCAGAGGCTCTCAACCTTTGATGCACAATGGAATAAACCAGGGAGCTTAAAAAACATTGATGCCTACATCCAACATCCAAGATTTTCTGATTTAGCAAGTCTAGGGATTTTTGAAACCACTATCGTAAAGATAGTAATCATCAACAATTCACATAATAAAATGCCAGTGTCATGAAAGATACTTCTCCCTTTCTGCAAGGGGTGGGAGCCAGGAAACTATTCAAAATTAAAGGGGACTTGAGAAATTGGACAACAGCCAGGCGCAGTGATGCACACCTGTAATCTCAGCAGCTCAAAAGGCTAAGGCAGGAGGATCGAGAGTTTAAAGCCAGCCTCAGCAGAAGTGAGGTACTAAGCAACTCAATGAGACCCTGTGTCTAAATAAAATATACGAAACAGGGCTGGGGGATGTGGCTCAGTGGTTGAGTACTCGTGAGTTCAATCCCTGGTCCCAGCCCCTCCAAAAAAAGAGAAATAGGAAAACAGAATGTAATGTATGATTCATGATTAGATACTGGATCCCCAAAAAAACTATTATAATTGGGAGCATTCAGGAAACTTGACCATCAATTGTTTTTTAAATAAGACTCTACAAATATACAGAAATTCATTTGTACACACTTTTTGGTGTGATACTCTGGCCATAATATATTCTCCTTCTTAGATAACTCATGGCCCTGAACAATCTATTTAGGAAGAAATTGCAATTTTCTTTTGATGGCTTTAAAACATCTCAGATACATAAAAAGCCTAGCTACTAGATAAACACATACATTACACACATACACATGCACACACACATACATACTTATATCCATATAAAGTCCATGTACCAAAGTGTGATTGTAGTACTATCTTTTCAACTTTTCAAAATAAAAATGAGTGAGTTGGGAGCTGGAAGTGTAGCTCAGGGGTAAAGCACTTGCCTAGCATAGTTGAAGTCCTGGATTTGGATTTCCTAGACACCCCCCCACACACATGCATGTGGCACACACACAAGGATGAGTGAGAAGCTTTAGTCTCCAGCAGTTTTTCAGTTTCTTTTTATGTGGCATTTAGTTTTCCTCATTCACCCTGCTTAAAAATGTTTTGGTATATGATTTAAAAGAGAGAGAGAGAGAGAGAAGAAAAATAAGAAACAGAGAATGGAAGTTCTCAAATTTTAAGATTGTGGCCTCTAGACTTTTAACCTCTAAGTCCCGTGGTACACATAACATCAGCCCCATATCTCTATCCTGCCCCAAATATGCCTACACTAGAAAATTTGTTATTTCCTGCTGGAGCCATGTGTCCTCGTGACCAGCCACTTCCAAAATAGTCCTCATTGAAGGCACTGAAGGCTGGAGGGATGTTGGGATCCGGCTTGAATTTACAATGTTTTCTGTCGGCATCACCTAAGAAAAACACACAAAATGGTTGTCAGTGGACAAATATCCCTCGAAGTTCTCTAAACACAGCAAGCTGGCTGCTGCTGGCTGGCATCTCTTCAAGCAGCTAGTACTGGAGACTGCATGCACGTCTCGAGTTCCTGGGATAGTTCAGATACTTCATCTGAATTTAGAAAGGACTGACCGGGGAAAGAATCCTTTCATACAGGGTAGCTCTCTCATGATTTTGATTCTAGTCTTCCCAGTTCAAGGAAAACGATCTTGGATAGTATTTAAGTAAAACAATGATCAATCAAATAACTCAAATACATAAAAAGCTTGGCTACTAGATAAACTCCTATTTAAAAGAAAAAAAAAAACGTGTGTTTTATACAATCATAATTTGACAAGTTTATTTGTACTGAAATAATGGATAAATATAGAAACAAAACAATTTGTTCTGGGCAGGCACAGCACGGAGGAGGGGGTGTCTCTGACATATTGCTCATTGCCTCTTAAAGCCATGACAACACAAATGTTTAAGTTATGAGCTCCACTCAGGAATTTCTAAAACACAACATTTTAGCATCACAAAGGAAAAAAGAAATTTCACTTTTGCTTATTTTCTGAAGCCTCCAAAATGGTTTGCCACAGAGGATATGAGCAGATTCTAATATATTTTCCACTGTCATCAGCTCAGAACTTGTTGAACTACAAGAACGATAAGGGCGACAGAATATACTCAATTGTTACTCAAACAAGTGTAAGATGAAGATCATTGAAGTCACTGATTACAGTGTCATTTTTTTGATCCAAGAAAATTTTAGGGGGCTGAGGTTGTGGCTCAGCGGTAAAGTGCTCGCCTAGCATGAGCAGGACCCGGGTTAGATTCTTAGCACCACATAAAAAAAAAAAAAAAAAGGCATTGTATTTCTGTCTACACCTAAAAATAAATAAATAAATATTTTTAAAAAATTTTAAAAATGATCAGATCCCGAAGTTCATAGAAAAGTACCTAATACCCAGCTTTCTGGAATCACTTCATAAAGAAAAAAAAAACAACTGATAATACAGAATTATCATAAATAAACTTCTAAGTGTCAGTAACTTTGGAATTGCCTTCTTTCATGCCAACTTATCTTTGCCTTGCCCTCACTGCCCTTAAATCTCATTTGTGGAAATTTCCAAAGATGCAATAAGATGATCCCTTCCTTGAGGGAGAGGTAAATTTACTCCTATCAGGCATCCAGCAGCATTACCAGTAGTGACCATATTAAACCAAGTTCAGGAATTAAGGTTCTCTCTGCACAGGTTTGGGATACCAGTCTGCAGTTGGGACAGTTTGTAGCCTCTGCCTCTCTGAAACAAGCTTCCCATCTGATGCCTCTGCTAATGTCAAGACAACTTTCCATATAGTACTCTACAGCATATAGGCAGGTTAGTTCTGATTTACTCTTCCCCAAGAGTATAGCCCTTTGGAGTTCCAGGTTAATGGGGGAAAAGTGTTTCCTATAAGACAACTTATCCTGGGTGAGCCCTAGTCTTTCCTTTAATCCTTCTCACCCTATAAGGCTGTGAAATCCAAGGCAACTGTAATGAAAGGAATACCCTTAATACGTAACAGAAATACTAAAAAAAAAAAAAAAAAAAAAAGCTATCCAAACTGAAAATAGATAGAGAACAATTTACAGAAAAGAACAATTCACAAAAATGTTATCCTTCCCTGATAATCAATTAAGCACAATTATAATCAGTTATTAAACTGATAAAAGTTTAAAAATGCTCATACAGATATGGATGGAGAGGAAGGACAAACAGTAATGGTGGGAGAGTAAACTGGAAGGATATACCTTGAAACAAATTTGATACTCGTCGTCAAATTCTGATAATCTTGGTAGAGTGAGAGACATTATTACCTTATATACATGTATGATTACACTATTGGAAGGACTCTGCAACATGTACAACCAAAGGAATGAGAACTTGTGCTCCATTTGTGTACAATATGTCAAAATGCATTCTACAGACATATATAACTAATTAGAACAAATTAAAAAAAAAAAAAGATTTGATAAATCTCCAGTGATTGAACTCAGATGCACTTAACCACTAAGCCACATCCCTGCTGCATTGGAGGCTGGCTCTAAACTCATAATCCTCCTGCCTCGGCTACCCAAACTGCAAGGTCTCATAATCTTAATTAAAGAAATCTTGTAAAGACACACAATCAGACCTGCCTACCTCTCCAGTCTCACTTAACTTCACATTCTCCCTTCTGGCCTTCTTTTAGTTTCCTAAAGGAACAAATTGACCTCTACACTGAGGCCTTCACAGATTAAAAAATGGGCTTCTTTGCACCAAGAATGTTCTTTTCCACATTCCATGGCCAACCAATCCCTATTGTCTAGGTAACATCCCTCTACCCTTTAGTCTACTTTATCAGAGAAGTCTCACTAATCAAAATTATGTTCTCTAATTATAATCTCTCATCATACTCTTTACTGTTCCTTAATTATGCTACCTTAACTTGTAATCATTTCCTTCAGAGAAGTTACCAATTATAATTACATATTCACTATAATTTAATAGGTCAATCTATTCCCCCAACTGAAAGTTTCATAAGGACAGAGACCATCTACTCTGGTCACTGCTATATCCCCAAGAGTTAACACAGTGCCCAACACACAGTAGGCACTTGAGGTAAAAAAGAAAAAAAAAAAAAAAAGAAGAAGGATGCTCCTTACAGCAACAACAAGACAGAGCACCCCATCTCAAGTGTCACGATTTGAATTCTGTCAGCCTCTGAAACAATTGGGAAGGATCTGGGGGCTCCCTGGCTGCCAAGCAGGGTCCATTTAATTAGTAAGCCATATAAGTATCATTTCCTACATGTGCTGTGAGGTTAAAAAAAAAAAAAGGTTGAGAATATTGAATAACTTTGTTAAAAATTTAGAAACATCTTTCCCTGATACCTTTACTTCAATTTCTTTTCAATCACTTACCCATTATCTTATTTCTGGATATATGTTCGAGAACCCATCTAGGCACCCGCTTTGTCTGATCATAAGACAAGGCATGATTAGTATAACACCTAGTCTCTGTTCCAGTTAGAGGAAATCCAAATTGTTCCAATACAGCCTTTTCTGCAGATTCTAAAAATAAAGGAGAAAGAAAGAGAGAGAGGACAAAAACAGCAAATAATAATTAGTGACTCTAATTAAGAACAAAACATTATAAGAACAGGTGTGACATTTACAAAGAATTAGCTCAGAATTCTACTCAACCATCCTTTGTTCACCATATGTCTGGCGTGGTACCTGGTACAGAACTGACATTCAAGAAGTATGGATGGAAGAGGTACTTAGTATCTCTTCTACCCAGTCATCATTTAGGGCAAATAGTTGCAATCAGTTTGTTTCTGCTTTATTTGCAATGTCCTTTGCAGTATATTCTGTCAATGGCAACAGAAAACCCCTATTAAAAGTTCTGTATAATATTTTTAAAATATATGTTTCAGGTGATCAACCAAATGGTAACATGAGTTATTACATTCTGTAGGTCCTATTTTCACTCCATGTCATGGTAATGAATCATTCCCGTGATCCAAGGGGAAAGAGCCTGCGTCTTTATTTTTAAAACTGAGCGTGGAGTTTAAGAGTGAATGTGGATTAAGTGTGGAGACAAAAATCACAGTCTTAGCTTAAGTTTTTTAAAAGACTATCATTCAGGAGCTGGGGATATAGCTCAGTTGGTAGAGTGCTTGCCTTGCATGCACAAGGCCCTAGGTTCCATCCCCAGCAACACACACACACACACACACACACACACACACTCACACACACACAAACATACTCACACTCACACAGACTATCATTCACTGACAGTCTCCTACTAAGGACAGAGATGTGCCTTGTAGCAAGACAATAAAATGGGGTACTGTTTTTTTCCTAGGGGAAGAAACCAAGCACACTCTTTAGTGGCGAATCTTTCGGATGACTTCTTCAGTCTTCAACCACCAGATCAGTTCTCTTGCTCAAAAGGAGCAAGTCAGGGATAGGGATAGGCTCAGTGGTAGAGCCCTTGCCTAGCATATGGGACCTCAACACTCCAAAAAAAAAAGGAAGTAACAAATTAAATTAAATTAGCATGTCTGAGAAAGTACAAGAAACAAGACTTTGGTCATTTTTTGGCAATAGATAAGGCACCTGGTAATTTGAGGAAAGGCTAGCGTATAAGAGTGGTTAGCTAATCTGCCAAAACTATGAGTTCATCTCCTTTTCCATCCATCCTTCTTGAATGCCAATTCTGTACCGTGCTAGGCATATGGTGAACAAAAAGAAGACAGTCTCAACGCTGATGGGGCTAACGATCTAGTGAAGGACACAGGCATTAAAAAAAAAATACATACCCTGGTGAATTCTTCGGGGACGAAAGGAGAGATCTGCAGAGAAAATTAAGGTCGGGAAAGGGGGCAGGGAGGCCGACCGCGCCAAGGCTGCGCGGGGCGCGTAGGGTTTCGAGCTGCCACCTGGACCGGGCCCGGAGGGCGGGTCCACAGACTTACCGTCCGGCTCCCTCGCTGCCAACGCTGCCCCAGCGCCCCGGCTCCGAAAAAACTGCAGGGCCGTCAGCCCTGCTCCTGTCGCGCCCACTACAGCCCCGGCCAGGAAACCACTCAGAAATCGCCGGGAGCCTTTAAGTCTGGAAGCAAAACTCTTCGCAGCCATCTCTGCCGAGCTTCCAATCTTTTTGCCACTGCGCATGTGCACTGTGGGTCCGAAGCCCGACGACCAATCATAGCCGCAGGATCGAGACGCATGCGCGATCCGCAGTGCTGTGTTTCGAGCTTCCCAGAGATGCTAGATCCAGAGCGCAGACACGCCCTCGCAGCTTAAGTCCTCGCGCGCCCCCTGGTGACAAATCTGAAGGACCAGGAGCTACCCCCATCTATAGCTGGCCGACCCACCTGGTAGTGTGGTAGAGTATGACGTCTTGAAAGTGGTGGAGGTGGTGTTACTGGAGATTGAACCCAGGGCCTCGTGCAAGGCAAGCGGCCTACCACGGACCCACATCCCACGTCTTAAGGTCTTAATAGTGTGCATACACAGTCCGAATACCTTTACTTTCATTGACTAGGTGAATAAACACTTGCACATGGTCCACCTCAGATACCCAGAATTGAGACTTAAATTTGAAATCTGGTTCCAAAATCTATGCCACACTGGCTTCTTTATGACACCTGGCTTCAAAGTCATATGGTTTCGAAATTATAACTTCTAAAAATAGCTTTGTACATCCTATAGAGTTTTTTGGCAAGCCAGTTCTCCGTGGTGGCTCAAGACCTTGGACCAGAGTGCAAAAGTTTGGAACCCCCTCAATTGCTTTCCACCTTGGGTTTGTTGCTTCACCTTTTTAGGCTTCTGTTTCCTTTTTTTAAGCCAGAGTACTACAACTACTTAGACCCTAGGGTTCTTGTAAGGATTAAAGGAGAGGACACATTAGGGCATTTAGTGAAGTGCCCAGGGCATATCTTTAAGCCCTCTATAAATATTAGTGATTTTTGAGCCACTTTGTCTTGATAGAATTTAAAATTTAGATTGCTGAATGCCTGTTGACAATATATTATGTGTATGTGTATGTATACACACAATGTATTTTTTTCCATAAATCCCCACTTAAAAAAAATTAATGCAACACAATCTCCAGCTTTCCATGTGGACTTAGTTCTTTGCAGAACTTCATGTTTCCCATTTCTTAGACAACTAGTAGCAATATCTTTCATCTGATCTCAGTGATGATCACTTAACTGTAGTACAGGCTATTTTTGCCAGTCTCAAACAGGAGGCTGCCCCTCCCTAGCAGTACCTCTTCTGAAGTCATATTATATAATCCTGTGGGTCTCTGGCTCTGATTGTGTAAAAGTTACGACAACTAGAGTCATTTCTAGGGACTTTGGATCAGGCAACAAAGCTGTGACTCAAACTACCAGTCTGCAGCATTGTTTTCTGCCAAGTAGACAAATGAACAGATGCATCTGGTCCCATACTGAGCAATAATGGAAGAAATGCTGAGACACAGATAAGGTCTACAATGCTGTGTCGCTGCCTTTCCCAAGGCTTAGCTTGTTTTTTTTCCCCTAGGATCTTCTATTGGAGCCCCTTTTTGCCTAGTGGTTTCCATCACTTGCAACCAAGAATCCTGAAAATTCAACCAAATACTACTATCTATAGATTTCAAGGCTACTTTGGCAGCGTCTATCAGAATGTTATTAAATACAGTCGTTTTAGAATCATTTCTCAAGGCCTTCACTAAATGCTGGGCACTGTGCTAAATTCAGAAAGAGATAATGGTAGATCATTTTCCTCATCCAGATCCTGCACTTGGAAGAAATGGTAAATCCATACTTTGACCCCCAAGAGGAATTGGTTGGGCTACTTGATATTGGGTAGTCAAACTTTCTCTGAGCCAGTTTGCTTACCTATAATATGAGGGGACTATGCTAGTTTTTAAAGTGTTAATGGAAATGGAGGAACCCTAAATGCTCCCTAGGGGTGCTTGAGACCAAATGGCCTGAGCCCTCCCATATTTGCTCTCAGACAAACCTGTTTTTATAAACCACCTCCTGTGTAAAATATCTTTTGGTGAAGGTTTCCTTTGCTGAAGGAAATATATGATCAGATGGGCCCTGAGGTTCAGCCTTTCAGCTTTTCCACCCCCAGGATCCTTTATCAAAAATGTCAGCCTTTTGCCTTCCTGTCATTCATTCTCCAGCTCCTCAGGGGCAATCGCTAACAAAAGGTGAGCTTTCTAAATCTGAAAGAACAGAAAGAGCCAAAGATTTACAAGCAGTCCCTAAATAAAAAGCCCCTTGATCAAAAATTCCTCCAGAAGTTATCATGCAGGTTGCTTAATCCTAATAAAAGACAAATTAAAAGGGGGACATTAAGCCCACTGGAAAGATTCAAAGGGTCTTTTCTGCACTTCAACATTTAAACACTAGTCTTGAGCCCTGCAAAATACATTTTTATTGCAGAAAGCAGGTACTTTGAGGCTTTCCTGTTTTCTTGGTTAGGTTGTAGAGGCCATAATTATCTTATTACCAAGGAACCAACCATGTTTCAGTTTAGTGAGACTTAAGTTAGGATCTCCAAAACACGAGATTTGGTTTACTGATTCAGATCTAGGGGCTCATGCCTTTTTTTTTTTTTTTTTTTAAGTAGTTTGCTAGTGACTGGGGTACTTAGCCAAGTTTGGCAATGGCAGGACTTGTATTCTGCAAGTTCTGAATACAACTTTCCTTCAAGGCTTCTCTGTTCCACTTATAAAAATATTGCTCAGGGTCATTTGCAAAGTATAGGAATGGGTGGGAGGGTGGGATCTTGATGATCTGGAAAACACATCCCTGCTCTGCAGGAACTTACCCAGAGTCCCAGATCAGTTCATTTATGAAAAGCCTGCAGTGTTCCTAAGTAGGCCCTGGACTTCTCAATTACAGAAATGAAGAACTGTGCTTGGCTCCAGCCCCACCACAGACTAGGTCTGTAGCCACCAACAACAGCATGTGAATCAAGCAGAACTCACAGGCACACTTACAGGCACCAGTCCTGTAAGCAGGGGAATGCCATTATTTTTTTTTTCTAATTCCCGTGAAAAGAAATTTCAATTCTCTGCCCCATGATTAAAAGAGACAACAAAGTGTTTATTATTATTATTATTTTATTTTCATATACAAAAAGATAAAACTTGAAATAGTTCTAGATTTTTCCTCCTATTCTGTTGGGGTGTGGCTGCTGCTTCACACAGGGGGGGGAAAACTACATTCACATCGGTTTATTTGAGGACCCAGTGCAGAGTTCAAGCAGCAAAACCCCAATTTAGCAGATCTAATTTCAAACTTGACACTCATTTCTAAAAGTACCACAGTAAAAAGGAACAAAGATCCACTGCAAATGAATGAACTATGATACAATGTTCTTTCCAAAATGTTTTCATTTCACAACTGTAATTACATGGATGTCTGCTTCAGGCCATTTTAGGGGTGTGTGTGTGTGTGTGTGTGTGTGTGTGTGTGTGTGTGTGTGTGTGTGTG